GAAGATGATGCTGTTAAAGTGCTGCACTCCATTTGCCAGCAAATTTGGAAAACGCAACAGTGGCCACAGGATTGGAAAAGATCAGTATACATTCCAATCCCAAAGAAGGGCAACGCCAAGGAATGTTCAAACTATCGCACAATTGCACTCATATCACATGCTAGCAAGGTCATGCTCAAGATCCTACAAGCTAGGCTTCAACAGTACGTGGATAGAGAACTACCAGAAGTACAAGCTGGGTTTCGAAGAGGTAGAGGAACTAGAGATCAAATTGCCAACATTCGCTGGATTATGGAGAAAGCAAGAGAGTACCAGAAAAATATCTACTTCTGCTTCATTGACTATGCTAAAGCTTTTGACTGTGTGGATCACAACAAACTATGGCAGGTCCTTAAAGAGATGGGAGTACCAGACCACCTCACATGTCTCTTGAGAAACCTGTATAAGGGCCAAGAAGCGACAGTTAGAACCGGATATGGAACAACTGATTGGTTCAGCATAGGAAAAGGAGTACGACAAGGATGTATATTGTCGCCTTGCTTATTTAATATATATGCAGAGTACATCATGCGAAATGCTGGCCTGGATGAATCACAAGCGGGAATTAAGATTGCTGGGGAAAAGATCAACAACCTCAGATATGCAGACGATACCACTCTAATGGCAGAAAGTGAAGAGGACCTAAAGAGCCTCTTGCTCAGGGTAAAAGAGGAGAGCGCAAAAGTGGGCTTGAAGCTCAACATCAAAAAAACTAAGATCATGGCATCCGGCCCCATCACTCCTTGGCAAATAGAAGGGGAAGTCGTGGAAGTAGTGACAAACTTCATGTTCCTGGGATCCCAGATCACCGCAGACTGTGACAGCAGCCATGAAATTAAAAGACGCCTGCTCCTTGGGAGGAAAGCGATGGTGAACCTAAACAGCATGCTAAAACAGGGCCTGGTCTAAAGTCACCCGATACAACAGCCTGGTCTGCATGGTCAAAGCAATGGTATTCCCAGTAGTCATGTATGGCTGTGAGAGTTGGACTATAAGGAAGGCCGAGTGCCGAAGAATAGATTCTTTTGAACTATGGTGCTGGAGGAGACTCTTGAGAGTCCCTTGGACTGCAAGAAGATCAAATCAGTCAATCCTAAAAGAAATCAACCCTGACTGTTCCCTGGAAGGCCAGATAATGAAACTGAAGCTCAAATACTTTGGCCACCAAATGAGAAGGGAGCACTCACTGGAGAAGACCCTGATGCTGGGAAAGACTGAAGGTCAAAGAAGACGGGGACAGCAAAGGATGAGATGGTTAAACAGTGTCATCGAGGCAACGAACATGAAATTGAGCCAACTTCAGAGGACGGCGGAAGACAGGAGGGCCTGGCGAGAGCTGGTCCATGGGGTCGCGAAGAGTCGGACTCGACTGTGCGACTGAACAACAACAACAAATACCTCTGAAGGCCATTTTTTGCATGGACAACAACAGGAGAAGCTTGGACCTCTGCACTAGTGCTTCCAATGTTCCCTGATTAGCAAAAATTCTACCTCTAGAGCAAAAATGTAGTAGCATTAAAGTTGTGAGCAAGTCTACATTTGACTTTAGCATATATTCATTTGTAGAAGATTATTTCCATAACTTTGTAAACATTTCAGAATGAATTCTTTTAAACTGTATTTAAATTATATTTTAAGAATAATTTAAACTTTATAAGAAAACAGAATCAAGTCAAATTTCATTACAGAAAATGTCCTCTGGAGACCTCTGGAGAACAGGTCTACCCACTCCTTTCCACTATATTGGTAGACCTGGGCTCTGGAGAACAGATCTACCCACCCCAGTCCACTATATTGGTAGACCATGCCTTGGATCATCACCCTGTGCTAAGCCTTAGAAAACATACCAGCAAGACAGCAGAGAGCAGTGCTGGAGGCAGGGGTAGTGTGTGGAGGGTTCATCTTACTCAGCCACCTGTATCCAGTAGTGCTGCTCCCTGTCCTCTTCCTGTCCCCCACTGCAGCTGTAATGTGCTGGGGGAATAATTCCCCACATTTTATTTCATGTTTAGGATTTTCTACAAACCTGGAGAGGGGAGTAACCCGCATCTCTAGAAACAAATTTCTGTTCTGTTGGTGTGAGCCCGATCTGCAGATATAAGCATCTGCAAATGGGTCCAGATTTGCCTATTAGAAAATAAGATAAACAGTGCAGAAAATGGTACTATATAAATATAAAACTATATACAACAAACAGACAATACATACTGTACACAGCAGTATAGTCCAGAGTCCTATTCCTTTTACAGAAGCACCTTCCTGAACCATTCTGTTATAACATGACTGTAATGTACCAATTCAATTTGACTCATTACGATCAAAGATCAGCAAAGCTGTAATGCACTAAGACCGTCTTTGATGGACCCAGCTTGGGTTCACAGAACAATAGTCTGTGAGGATCCTGGAAGGAACCTATCGACCAGGAGTACCTCTGTAAATAACCTATCACGGATAGTGGATGTGTGTGGGGTGTGGTGTTGGTCACGGATTTAAGCAGGGCTTTGGTCCTGCTAGAATTGTCTTTGGTTTGAGTTGAAATCACAATAAAGCATGAGCTGATCACAATCGTGTGTCGAACCCAGTATATTTCAATGGCCTAGTTACCTTTATATATAAAAAAACCTTCCTAAAAATTCTGTTTTTTATAGTTTGTGGAATGACAAGCATGGAAGTCATACTGAAAAGGTGTGGTCCACAATAAAGAATGCATGTCTATTACCAGTTGTTAATCTTGCCCAACTATAGTGTGGCAGTTGCAGAAGCCTCTAATTAGAGAAGCACATTTGTCATGGTGGAGCATAGAAAGAGAGGTTGTCCTGCAGATAGAAGGTCCCAAAGCCATGGACAGCTTTCTGTGTTATAACCAGTTCCGGGACCTGACTGTAGTGACTGATGGGCAGCCAATGGAGAGACTGCAGAATGGGTATAATATGCATATTCTGCCTGGTTCCTAATCATAACCAATCTGAAGCATTCTGTACCAGATGGAGTCTCCAAGTGACTTGACTAAGTGCAATAAGGATGAGTTCTGGAGGATTGTTTTACTGGGCTGCAATGAACCTCCATATAGGACCAACATATGTTGTTACAAAGGCTTATACTTGAAGATTTATATTACCTTCCTACCTCTTGCTGTTCATTATGATCTGGTTCCAAAAAAAACATGCTTCTGTTCACTAATTTCACCCTTGCTGGGAGCTCACAAGATCCAACTTGGCTAGATATTTAGTGCCAGGGAAGTATTTGTCAGCCATGGGCAAATAAATCACATGCTAACTGCAGTATTTAGGGAATTTCTTCTATAATTTGGGTATTTGGCTTCCCTGCTCTAGTGTTTGGTATAAAGGAGATAAAGGGAATACCATTTCTCGACTAATGAGCAGGAACTTCAAGCAAGCAACATGTTCATCCACAGGTGCTGAGTCATGGGACACCAACAGAGCTACCACAGGACAATCCCCTATGTTCTCTTGTTTCCTACCACATACTTAACACATATGGGTGCATTTTCTGAGGCAAGGAAAACACCCTTTTCTCTGTAATGGACTTCATTAATACAGTCAGTTATGACAGAATCCCAATTTTGCATTCTAGGCTTTTTCTCCCTTTCTGTCTTTCTGTCTAAGTTTTGAGGGAGGGGGCAAAACATGTGAGGAACAGAGTGGGGGGGGGACACCTGGGGAAAAAACCCCACAGGAACTTAACAGCCAGTAAAATGACAATGCAGAAAAGCCTCGTGTCTCAGATGATGTTAATTATAAATCTTAGAAGCAGTGTGATGAAGCCTCGTGTCTCAGATGATGTTAGTTCTAAATCTTAGAAGCAGTGTGATGAAGTCAGTGTGGTATAGTGCTGGACAAGGACCAGAGACACCAAATCTCCACTCAGCCATGAAACTCATGGGGTGACATTGGGTCAGTCATTTGCTCACAATCTAACCTACCTCACAGAGTTGTTATGAGGATAAAATTGGTGGTGATGATGGGGGGAGAATCTTGTGCAGTGCCCTGATCTCCTTGGAGGAAAGGGCAAATATAAATTGTTACAGAAAGCAGTCTGCTTTCAGCTTAATGGCTCTTCCAGGAAAATACACAATAAAACCTTAACTGCTTATATCCATATTTAGAAATATGTGTTGGATCCAATCAGCTTTTCCATTTGTGAAAAAGAAAGGAAGGATCCCCTCTGAGCACGTAACAGTGGAATGAGGAGCATAAAAGTGGAATAAGGTGGGAATTGGGTAAGAAGGAGTGGAAAAGCTGACTGAATCCCACTCAAAATATCTATGACAAATGAGTCAAAATGTCCAGTGTGCATGGAAATTGTTCTGATTTTTTTTTAACCAAGTTTGCTTGGAAGGTGTTGAGTAGTACAATGAATAATGCATACTTTTATTTTAATTTCTAATATTTTACAAACATGTTAAAATCCAGTATTGTCTATATAAATTCTTATTACAGCCTATCAGGAAATACATTATATATATAAATATGACATTTAATAAACATTGTATTACAGATCTTTCACATCAGTTTCATTCAGTCTCAAAAATTTCTTTTCATTTTATTTATTACTGAGTAAAATTAGACTTCATAGTGCAGAGCAAGATTTGTTACACTTCAGATACATCACAGATGTATGAAAAGCATATAATAATTGTACACTTAGAGGTACATTTCATAACTTGCTCAATGCTATATGTGTGTATTTAATATTCTGAAACTGGATGCCTCAGAACAAGATTATCAAACGAAACACCACATTGTCATTAACATTCATCAATTCATCAACATATTTAACACCTCATTCCTAAGGACACTTTCCCACGAGTAAAACCTATTGAGTAGATTTAAGTAGAAGACTGGTTAGATCTTCTTAGGATTTCACTGTAAATCAGTTAACTACAATCTGGATTTTAAAATGTTTATTATTCAAATTTGAATAGATCAGTCTTGAAATCCTCAAGGAAGCCTACCTCTCAAGGTAAGTTTCTTGAGTGCCTCCTTAACTTCTTTGTTTCTCAAAGAATATATGAACGGATTGACAACTGGGGGGACCACTGTATAGAGAAGAGAAACCATCTTGTCTTTGTCCAGAGTGAAGACTGAAGTGGGCCTAATGTACGTGTAGATGACAGCAGAGAAGTAAAAACTCACAATGATGAGATGTGAGGAACATGTTGAGAAAGCTTTCTTTTTCCCTTCAGTGGAGTGGATTTGAAAGATAGCTCTTAAGATAAACCAATATGACATTAGAGTCAACCCACAGCTACAGATCCCAAAGACCAGATCAGCTGCAAAAGCCATCGTCTCACTAAGGCTGGTGTCTGAACAAGAGAGATTTATAATTGGGGGCCAGTCACAGAAAAAATGGTTGATGACATTGGAGCTGCAAAAAGACAATTGCAATAGAAGTCCAGTATGAACTGCAGAATTAACCATTCCAGTAACCCAAATTCCAATTGCTACAAGAATACACACTTCTTTCCTCATGATAATTGTGTACTGCAAGGGGTGGCAGATAGCAGCATAGCGGTCAAAAGCCATAAATGTGAGAAGAAGAATTTCTGTTACCAAAGTCCATACAAAGAGATACATCTGCGTGATGCAGCCATAAAATGAGATGGTCTTTCGATGGGCCAGAAGAGTTTGGATGAGTTTGGGCGTTGTGACTGAGATAGAAAACACATTAATGATGGACAAATTGATGATCAGGAAGTACATGGGACTGTGGAGTCTTCTGCAAGTGCATATGGTAAAGATGAGGAGGAAATTTCCAGCTAGAGCCACAGCATAAACAAATGTGAAAATCACAAAGAGAAGTGTCTGTAGTTCAGGGGAACTGGTAAGGCCAACGAGAATAAACTCTGTAATGTTGGTCTGATTTTTTAGTTCCATGAGTTTGACGGTGACCTAGATAAATGTATGCTGTTATTTTCAGCTAATTGTAAAGCTCTACTCTTACCTAATCTGTCTGTCTGTCTCTCTCATGCACCCACCCACCCACAGAGTCCAGTATGAACTGCAGAAGTAACCATTCCAGTAACCCCAACTCCAATTACTATCACAATACACAAGCTTGGCAATGCTTAATTTCACTTTACCAGTCATGGGCCTGACTTCATTTAGAATAAGGCATGATAAGGCAAGCTATTGTGGAGGGGCACTCTTAATTTTTTTTTAAGCCAGCTTCTGACTTTCAGACCTTGCACAATCCTTGATGTGTGTCAACATCTTCTAGGGTTACCAGAACCCCAGTCTGGGCAGGGGCTCGCCGGATTTTGGGGGCTCCAATCCGCTGCTAGCCACCACCCCCAAAACAGCCCCCTGCCACATTGACATCGCCACTGTGGGATTTTAGCTCCCCTGCTAAAAGCCACGTAACACCTGGGAATCCTATCAGACACCCCCCACGTTCGCTGGTAGAGCTTGATTTAATATTTCCTCTCTCTTTTTTTAGTTGTGGTTAGAATGCTTTTGGAAGAGGTGGTTGGTCAGCCAGCAGAGCTATTTGCAAAGGTAGACATGGTTAATGTGTTCTATGGATGTGTGTGTGAGAAGGGAGATAATTGTTTTAATTTTTTGTCATGTTATTTAATCCTGTTAGCCGCCTTGAGCCTGCTTGTCAGGAGAGGTGGGGTATAAATACAAATAATAAATAAATAAATACATACATACATACATACATACATACATACATACATACATACATATACACACACACACACAGATCTGGTAGAATGCACAGACCAAGCAGAGTTGCACTGACACAGAATTTGCTTAGGGAGTCATATTTCTGGATGGAATCACTTGCAAGTAATTGGGGCCACTGGTTTCAGAGACATGGTAAAACAATCAATTCTGGAAAATATGGTAATAAGGTTTTCAGCCAAACAGTTTCTTTAAATTTTTGCAGTAAGCCTTCAAAGTATACAACAGAAGAGACAAATTGCACTGGAATGGGTGCTTTAAAATCTAGTCTTGCCAAATCCATAATCGCACATGCTTTTATTGAACTAGGGGAAAGCAGGTGGAAATTACAGTCACTGCTAGAGTTAAAACTTTTCTTTAAAAAGCACATGGCATAACTTTCAGTGGACGATTAAATATATTAACTCAGGAAAAATTCTCAAGGAGTTCCATCTATTCCAGCTCCCTGTTTCACACAGCGGCCAGGCAATTGCCCCAGAGGGCCAACAGCAGGACATAGAGTCCAAGATATTCCCCTATGTTGTCTCCTAGTACTGGCATTTAGAGGTTTACTGCCTCTGTATGTTGAAGTTCTCTGTAGACTGCACCACAAGTAGCAACTGATAGACTGGTCCTCTATGAATCTGTATACTGTCCTTTTAAAGCTATCTATACTCATAGCCATTACTGCTTTCTTTGGTAGTGAATTCCACAATTGCCTCTAAGTGCAGAACCTTAAAAGCAGCAGACACAAAGCAGAGGTAGGTAGATGTTAGTTCTGCCCATCTCCTCTTAATGTATCTTCCAAATAAACATGCCTTAGAAGTTTGTGCCATAATGATGGTACAAAGGGCTAGCACATTCTATTGGATGGATAGAAATGAATATTCTTAATCCAGTTTAATTCCAGAAATCTTAAATATGGAAGTCTGTTGATAGCCTATACATCAAAGCAATATTATCCCTCCCGTTCCCCCTTAAAACTTACAACATTTTAATTTCACAATTTAATTGCCTCTAGCCATACCTATAGTTTTACTCTTGGGGGGGG